TCAAGGTTCCTCTGCAATGTTATGGCATTCATATTTGGCCTAAAGGCCTAGAATTTCTGACTCCTTTGTGAATCAGAAATTTTGAAGACCCTTGTCTTGGCAAAGTTTGGCAGTTGCCTTCTTTTGTGTTCTGATTGTCCAATTTGTATAGCATACTGTCAGCAATTGAGGCAAGAACAGTATTTAGTCCAATTGGCTAGCTTTACCACATTGAAAACAAACTCCATATGGAGGTTCTTTGATGCCCATCATCTTTTTTTTAAGTAAAATGGTCCTGCCAAGAGCAGATGTGTCTCATTGTCATGAAAAACCTTTTACCTTTTATTATTAAAATTTTTAAATGCCATATTCTATAGGTCTCTGAAGTGTTTAAAGACCATCTCTATTTAAACTATATTTGTGTTTGACCTTGAAAACCTATAAAACTTGACTATAAATTTGATTGTTGCAGATGACTAACTACTAATCTGTCTTTATTATACTAAAAATAGGTTTCAAGGACTAAAATCTTACATTTTTGAATGAGCCGCATAGGTTCAATATCTTAAACAAGAGTAGAAGCATATATATATATACATATATGTGTGTGTGTATATACATATACAAAAATAACTTCAAATATGTATCAATATATAAACATTCATACCAATGTAAAAAATTGAGTTAGTGATTATTCCCTTTTATCCCATGATTTGTATACTATATCCTTTCTCCAGTTTCCTTTATTTGGCTGCTTTTTTGACCATGACCAATAACAACTTGAAACCAACTCCTTTAAAAAATAACAAACATCCATAATCCACCAAATGTCCAAAAACCACCCACCCTACCTCTTGGGAAGGCAGGAAGCATGTTCTCTAGACTGCTTTATGTTGTCTGGGGGTGATGGCATCTTTAGGGGACCCTGAAAAATTGAAATAATGGTCAAGTCCTAGGAGAACTAGTTGTATGCATTATTTTTTTGTTTAGTTTCTGTGTGATAGGAAAATGTAGCTTTTATCTGAAGTCTTGGCTGGATAGTCTGTGAGGCTGGACCATCTCAGGTTGCGGCTTTTATGTTATTCTGGATGCAGAATCATAAGGAAACTGTAACAGAAGCATTCTGTGAGACTGGATCACCTGAGCTACTTGTCTTCTTTGGTATCTGATTCTTTTTTCCTGAAAACACATAAAGTCTTAAAGGTAATATGCATATGTGCATTAACACAAGTATGGAAATATGCAGTGTGTACAAGCCTTAAGCCCACCGAGTGGCTCAGCACACAGCACTTGTTGGCTGGAGGCCACAGGCAACAACTGGGAGCCATGTCTCTCTGTTTGCTGCCCCCTGCCAGAGAGACTACAGACTAGGAAGCAGTGTCTGGCTCCCTGTTTGTGTGTTTGGAACATCTCTTTTTAAGCTTTCTCAGGTCCTACATGGAAATATGTGCCCCCTTATTGAATGCCATATGTAACAAGTCCTACTCTGTTCCACCAAGCCACTGTCAAATAATGACATAGAGATTTCTTATGATTATGAAAGCTCAGCCTATACATTAGGCTTGTTCCAACTAGTTCTTAAAGTTTAAATTAACCCATTTTTATTCATCTATATCTTTACCATGTGGCTTTACCTCTCTTTCATCTTACACCTTCTGTTTCCTCTCCATGTCTCCTGGCTTCTCCGGTATGCCAAGATTCCTCTTCCTCTCCTCTCTATACCTGCAAGTTCCACCTATCTCTCTTGCCTAACTACTGGCTGTTCAGCTTTTTTTTTCTTCTTTTGGCTCCTTGGCTTTTTAACACATCTTCATACAGTTTACAAATACTCCACAACCGGCAGAATATTTGCCTAGCAAACCCACTCCTCTGCTTAGTAATGCTGCCATAGAATTTGTTTTCACAGATTTTTCTCATTTAGCTCTCTGATCTCAGCAGGAGTGACAAAGAGGCGTGGAAGGTGTCTGTGCACTCTGAGTACTGGTGTAGCTAGCTGGAAGCCACGTGGGCCCTTCCTTCTTTCTCCTTCCCAAGACCAGGCTTCCCAGCCGCATTCTGGCCTCTAAAGTAGTGATTTCCCAAGGCTTCTGCTCAGCCTTTCCTTCCTTTCCTCTCTGCTGACCTGGAGGACCATCTCCCTTCTTTACATTTCCTGGAAGAGGTTCTAATGTTCTCAAATCAGCAGTGAACCTCCTGGAGCTGCCGGGAATAAATGTCATCCATATGAGAATCCACACTTGAAAGAGCAGGCATTCCCTGCAATCGGGCTCCACATGGTGATTGGGTGAACGCTACTGTTGTGTGTTAGACATTTTGCACTGGTGATATGACATGGCTTCCCTCATTCGCTTGGATGTAAGGTAGTGAGGGCATTTTAAATACATAGCTTGCGAGAATAGTTTGGCTGTGAGGAAGCAGAGAAAGGAGACGGCATCAATATTACCTAGACTGTGGTGCCCAGGGTTCACGTTCTCCGGAGGTGAAATAATGTGACGTCTCACATTGATTTCCGTCTCTGGAGGCAGAGAATATGGAGGACTGCCTCTGGTTCATATTGATTCTCATGGTATCCCTCCTTGGCATTGTGCTAACTCCGTCTTGTTTGATTTTTGGCCCCATGAATTACGTTGTTTTTCTCTTCCATTTATCTCTGGACAGGTGAATGAACCCATTAAGGTCTGGCTGACCTCAGATACTGTGTTACTTTCTGTTGTGTAATAAGTACTTATCAGAAAGCAAGTTAAAAGAGAATGTAGGTTTTTTTCTGGCTTACAGTTAGGAAGGGCATGGTCCATTGTGATGGGGAGGGCGTATTCTAGGAATAAAAATCTAATTCTCATATCAGAACAGATCAGGAAACAGGAAGGAATAAGAAATGAATTCTGGAATTCATCTAGGTGTTTCTTTTCCTCTTTCATCCAGCCACCTTTTAGGAATGTGCCCCAAACACTGGGATAGGTCTCCCCCTCTGTCAGTTACTGCTCTCAGGAGAGACCTCCATGAAGGCTCCCAGACGTGTGCCTCAGTAATGGCCTAGATATTTTCTTATCCTAATTATGTTGATGATAAAAAGGGACCATAAGAGATAAGGACATAACCACTGAACCCAGGCATATCAAAAAGAGAAAAAGGTCATAATGATCCCCCAGGAGAAGCTGAAGCAGTATGCTATGAAGTACTAAGAGCTCTTTGAATGAGCCAGGTATGCAGCTCTCAGGGTCCTGGAATATGCTATTCGCGCTGATTGGTTGAATTTTAACTGTGTCCACTAATTGGAGACAGTTATCAAGAAACCAAAGGGGTAGAGCATAGACATAAAGCAGCTTGATGTGGGATTTGTGTGGCTTTCCTGCTTTGCTGAAGGCTAGGAGAGCCTGTTCCGTGCTGTCGCTGGGCACAGAATTGAAATGCACAGGAAAAAAGAAGTGGCAAGCACATAAATAAAAGTTTCCTAAACACAGAATTTTCCAAGGACTCATTAGGAAGGGAGTTCATGGTCATAGGTGATGTTGGAACACTAGGCTGACTGTGATGCTGTAGCACTGCGCAATGATCTCTAACCCCAACTAGACTTGGGAGCCACTGGCTGATCCAGGCTGCAGCTCCTGAAGCAGCCCCACCCTCTCTTCTGCAGCTGTATTTTCCTTTGCAGTTAGACATGGCCTTGGCTGCCAGCTCGTGCTCACTCTGTGAGGAAGCAGGGCAGGCCTCCAGTTGGGCAAAGCAAAGGGCTCCTCAGAGCTGAGAGAGCGTGCTGCTGTGGGTGTGTGGTTCTTTGTCTGATGAACTCTTAAGGGCTGATGTTGCCAGCTGATATTACAAAGCCTGTGTTTGCATGCTTGTTCCAGAACTTGGCCTCCAGGTTCACAGCAGAACAGAGTGAAGTCAGAAGACTCCAGAGGCTGAGCGCTGCCACAGACACTGGCTATCCAGTGCTGTTCACTCATAAACAGATGAAGCCCAGCTAATAGATGCTGCTGCCCTTAGTGACGGAATCAGGGGAGAAGGAGTGAGAAGGTTGTTCATTTTTCTGAGGTTATTTTTTTCCTATCAGAGCTCAGGCGAAAAGAGACCACCACCTCTTGTTGCGGAATATGATTTTAAGATGTATTACATTTGTTTATGCTGTGAAACATTTGTTTAATGATTTAAGGATGTGTTGCATTCTTTTATGGTGATTTTGTTTAACTCTGTGAGGTTGTATTACTTTGCTAGTCTAAAACACCTGATTGGCCTAATAAAGAGCTGAATGACCAATAGCTAGGCAGGAGAAAGGATAGGTGGAGTTGTCAGGCAGAGAAAATAAATAGGAGGAGAAAAGAGAAGGGGGAAAAGAAGGAGAGAGGACACCAGTGGCCCTCCACGCAGTTACACAGCAAGCCATGGAGTAAGAAGAAAGGTATATAGAATAGAGAAAGATAAAAGCCCAGAGGCAAAGAATAGATAGGATAATTTTAGTTAAGAAAAGCCAGCTAGAAACAAGCCAAGCTAAGGCCGGGCATTCATGAGAAAGAATAAGTCTCCGTGTGATTATTTGGGAGCTCAGTAGTGGACCCCTCAAAGAGTAAAGAGTAAAAAACAACCAACAACTCATTGAGATGAGAGGATACAGGAGAAAGGGGGATACCCTAATCCAAGAAGCGCTGTCAGCTGGTAGGAGTCAGTAACAATGTGGAGGCTTGATTAGGAAGATCTGGGATTACGTGTTAAGACAATGATGACTTTTTCTGCTGATGTTCAACCTCCTAACAGAACCTCAATGACCAATCCCAGAAGTTTGACTAGGAAGCTTGGGTAGCGAGTGTCCCCCCATTTCCTTCACCATGGGCCCCGGGGAAGAGCAGAGCAGGATACTGAGTGTTAAATGGGCCTGTGAGCAGCAGAGAATGAGGTGACTCAGAAACCATCAATGGACACCGATTATGGGGAGCAGGGATGGAGGAATGATCCTCCCCTGTCTTGACTACAACTTGGATCTTGAATAAATTTCTTTTAAAAAAGTATTTGGACTAAATATGGCAAACTGTTAGTTCTGTTTTATTTGTAAAATGAATGACCATTTGCTCATTAAGCTTTCATGTGGATGTTCCTAAATAATTGGAAATGTTTCTAAGAATGTTTTCTTAACATACTTTCTAGGAATAGAGTTTTAGATTATCGGCAACAGTTAATGTTGTCATGTCCAGATTCCCTCATTCCTTGCCCCATTCCCACAAATGCCATTCTCTCTCTCTCTCTCTCTCTCTCTCTCTCTCTCTCTCTCTCTCTCTTTCTCTCTTTCTCTCTCGATAGTGGAATTGTGTGAATTTTAAGGGCTCTTCTACCAGCAGCATTGACCTTTGTCATGGCATATCAGAGGAAAGAGCAAGAAGAGGAAAGAGTCAAGTCTTTGGGGAAAGAGGCAGGTACCTGCCAGGAGAAGGCTTGGGATGACAAAGACAGCAAATTGTCCTGACCTCTCCCCAAGCAAATTCTTGGCTTCATTTCCTCTTCTGTAAAATATGAATGGTGAAAGTTGGACCCACGGCGTTCAGAAAGCTCTCCTGACTGCTAAATGTGTGTGGTGATTGTTATTTGTATTGTTTGATCTTTATATCCTCAGAATTACCAGTGTTTCTGGGGTAAGACAAACATTTGGCCAGATCTAATTAGTGAAAACCATTGTCCTGTCTGTGACAGGCTGCCTCTAGCTGAACATGAGGTTTAAGTGCAGAATTGTCTTCTTGTGGCTGGTTCAGTGTGGTATCTGGTAGGCTTGGCAACAACAGGAGTCCTGAGGAGAGGATGGCACACCCGTGAAGAGGGCGACTGGGCAAGCTCATCAGGTGAATCCGTGTCAGTATTCGGCGTGGAAAGGGAAGTCGTCGAGATGACTTGCCCTGCAGCAACAAGCATAAGAAGAAATTGTTCCCCAGAAGCAACAAGTGTGCCCTAAGAGGCATCGTTCAGTGGTCTATTCAGCCCCTTTGTGCTCTCTGAGTCCCGGCTCCCATAAGACCATGAGGAAATGAGATAGGGCACACAGACCATGATGTCACCCAAAAGGATGAGAGGACTATTAAGGAAGGAGGGTCTGTAACAAACTGTGACCTGGTCACCAGTAGATTGTCGTAATGAGGGATCATAAGGAAGTTGACACACAACTGGGGGCCTCAAATTCTCACATTGTCATGAAGTGGGAAGTACAACTGAAATTGACAGATAGGTTATGAGTATTAAATAAGATACTAATATAAGCAAAGAGCTTAAAATGTCTGCTATATCCTAAACTAGTACTCAGTGGATGGTTGCTGCAATTAATACTGTCATCCTACTCTGTAGAGAGAGCGACTTGGTGATACCCAAACAACCCAAGGCCCCATCTCTAGTAAGTTGTAGGGTTTTTAGTACGAGCCAGCTAGTTTTACTTTTGAGTCCATTGATCTGTGACTCCACTCACAAATCCTGATACAAGAGCACTGTCCTCTTAGATAACGCCCTGATCACCCTCCTACTTAACCTGATGCCACTTACGCAAACACGCCGCAGGTCCTCCAGTTTCTGTTGAAGCTGAGAATGGTGGCCATCTCTTCATCACTCAGCTGGAAGTCAAAGACCTAGAAAGTTCCAAAAACATCCTTAGCAAGGAAAGTGTTGATGGGATCTAAGATTATAGGTGTTCCTCCCATTCAGGCATAATGCCTCCAAATTCTTCTCTAAATGCTGACTGGATAATTTAGAGATATCTGTGTCCTGGAAGGGGGGCTTTGTAGGTGTGTGCAGTGTGTGCAGTGACTGAAATGCATAGGGCCATGTAGGAGATGTGGTTTTTTTCAATCCATTGCATCACCTTCTACAAAAAGGAGCATGAGTAGACCAAGAGAGTCCATAGTTGACGAGAAATGTGTGGGCCTCTGATCTAAGTGCTCAAGGGTAACAGGAATCTCCCCAGTGGGACAAAGCTCAGACGTTCAGATCTGACAGGCCTTCGCTGGTGCCTGCCTCCAACCCACTCATGGCCCACATGCATGTAATTGCTGCAGCTCTGTTGAGGTCAGCTAACTAGCACAAGTGTAGGTCAGGTAGTTAGTTGGAAGACGTGAAGTCACACTGGCAATCAAGGGGTGGGATTAAAGTTCAAGGACTGGATCGTTCCCAGCCCCTCTCCACCAAGTGGGAATAGCAAATGATGAGGCCACATCTTACCTGAATGTTCTCTTGTATGCGGGAGGGTGTCACAGACTTGGGGATCACCACCACATTCCTTTGGATGTGGAACCGAATCAGAACCTGTGTACAAAGAGGGGACATCAGGTATCCACTTACCTATAAAGAACCCCTCCTAGTGAGATAAATGGTAATTGTATTTAGCTTTAGCTATTATTAGAGACACTTTCCAGGCCTCATCTTACAGCCCCTGATGCTGGAGGCAGCACTGATTTTCCTAGATAGGAAAGAGGTGGGTAGCTTGTGGCCATGAGGCTGAGACTGTGTCCAGATGGCAATGTTCATGAGGCTGAGCCTAGCGGTTTGACAAGAAACTAATTGACAGAGGCAGCCCTTCTCTGATGCCAGTGGTTTTGCCTGGAGGTCCTAACAAACTTAGATTTCTCATTTCTTCCCCTCCAATGCGTTAAAAGAAGGCAATAGCAGTAAAACACAAGAATACAAGAATGGGTGGTTAGATAAAGGGGGAATTACTCCATTTTACCTGGGCTGCAGTTTTCTTGTGCTTTGCAGCAATCTCCTTAATCTTGGGAATCTCCAGTACAACAGGGTCTTCTGGCTTGGCTCTAGGGGAAGAGAGAAGGCTGGCGTGAAAATCACCATGGCTACTACATGACTATGAACATTACTTCCAGGACAGTGCCAAGGCTGAGCATGACACCCTTCTCCATCTGAGAGACAGAGAGAGTGGGGGGGAGGGCAAAGGAGAGAGGGAGGGGGGAAGGAACAAAGGAAAGAGAGAGGGAGGGAGGGAGAGAGAGACAGAGAGAGACAGAGAGAGAGAGCGCGCTTTGTGTCTCTCCAGGAGTCCAGCTATGGACCAGAGCTTTAGCAGTTGAAAAGTATGACCTAGTCATGCAAGACAGAAATGACCTCTTCTCTGAGTATCAGCCAGGACCACTGTTGGGTTTTCCAAAAATTTTTACAGCTGCATTCCCTCAGATGGCTCAACACATTGCCAAAGATAGACATAGTTTTTTCCTAGTGTCTTAGGAATTACCAACCAGTTACCAAATACTGTTATAAGAATGTTAAAAGGAAGAGACACCATCCTGAAGCCTTACTGAGGTCTGTCTGGGGAACCCAGAGGGCTGTAGGCCGTGATGCCAATGCCCTTGGAGTGACAGTACTGGATCAGTTTCTCCTGGGTGAGAAATGGGTGGCACTCAATCTGCAAGAGAAAACATCTCCATCACTAGGGGACTAGGCCACTAGCCACTTTCTGAGTGGCTCAGAAAGACTTCTCCACATGAGCAAATACAAACAAAGACCAAAGGCAAATCACTGATAAATGTGCTCCAAACCAGACCCAGAGATCTGCCTCCCAGCTCCCTGAGCATCCTGAATACAGACCTCAGAGATGAGACTCAGTAGCTAGTATGGAAATTGCCTCCCAGTGTTGAAGTTGTCCCAGACCAGGGTCCTTCAACAAAGAGAATGTACCTGATTGGTCACTGGCTTATGTTTCAGTCCAGGCTTGTTCAGGAGCCTCTCAATCTGCAAGTGGTTGAAGTTGGAGATGCCCAGGGCTTTCACCAGCCCCTGGTCCACCAGTTCCTCCATGGCCTGTCACAGTGAGGAACACCAGTTAGATGGCTGCAGGAGCATACAGGGATGCTGGGTTGGTCTCGTCTTGGATAGGAGGAATGGCTGCTTGTGACAAGGTCAAGTGGAGCACTAAAGGGAATCTCCAGCTAGACTGTTGTTGCGGGAGGTCCTTCCGCTCCTTTAGCCAATAATCGTTGAGATACCAGAGCCCATTGGGGGTGTGGTCTCTCTCTCTCTTTAAAAAAGCGGCCACTTCCCTCTCCTCTCTCTGTCTTGCTTCCTGCTCCGTTTCCTTCTGATTGAGCAGAGGGCTCTTGTCTGGGACGGCGATCTAAGTTTTTTTTTTCCTTTTTTAATAAATAACCATTCTATTAATCATAATTCCAACCTGGTGTTGGATTGTTTGTGATTTACGCCTTTAGACTGTGGTACCTGCAAGACTGGTTCCACCCCTTCCACCCCTCCCCAGCTCAGCTGTAACCAGAAATGAAAAGTGAAGTTCTGGCTTCTGTTCATGGTTTTACCACCTTTCTTCCCTTAATTTTCCAGGCCCAGATAAAACTCTTTTTAATGTCTCTCCTGGGATCAGACAATTCCTTCCTTCCCTCTTTGATTCCTATGTTGTTTGAACTGTCAAATAAGCTAAGGTCCCCTAGTACTGGGGCTGATGGCTCATCCACAGAAACCTTAGCACTGTGACTGAAAGAGTCTCAACAGCAAACACATTGTATATGCTTCAATCCTAGCAACTACTGGACAGGAACTTACAAAGAATGGATCATAACTTCATGTTCTGCTGCTCTAGGGTTGGATCATTATCTTTGGGAAAGTTTAAAACAAGATCACTGTGGGTAATAATCTATAAACCCTACATCCTTGGGTTGACTCCATTTTGGGCTAAGCAGGTAGTCAGTAGGATAGATTCCAGCCCTTTTCCAGTGCCAAGATAGGCACTCTCGCCACAGCCCATATATCTTCAAGGCCTTCCTCACACAAGGCCTTCCACACAGAACATCAAGCTGTGTTGGACAGCAACGAGAGGAATTACAAGAGCAGATAGGCCTGGGTGTAGGCTGAGAATCACAGTTAAGTTGGGGGGTTGAGGCGAGAGACTCAGGATTCAGAGTCTACCTGGGCTTCAGAGGAAGATCAAAATCCATCTATGTGACATGGAGAGACCAAAGTATATTCCCAGAATCTCACATAGTTGAAGCAGAGAACTTTCTCCCACACAAGGTTTCTGAACTCCACAAGCGCCCCTTCCCCCCAATCAAATACATGAATAGAAAGAGAGAAACAGTAGCGGTGAAGTTAGACACAGGGCACTTAGACATTTTCATATCAGGGTGGAACGTCAAGGGGTCCTGACAGAAGTTCTTATCTCTGAGCACATACAGAGAAGTTGGAACCTACCTCCCAAGCATCCAAGAATGTGGCTTTACTGACGAGAATGTTGCCTTTTTCGTCTCTTGGTAAAAATTCATTTCCGGCCTGTAAACGCAAGACAAAAACCTCATTAGGCCCTACATATGGGTGCCTGGTTCTGCGAAGCAAGGTTTGAGGGCAATGGATTCCCAAAGAACCCATTTGTCACAGAAAAGTTCAGAACCATCTATGTGGCAGTGGCTGTGGGATGGAAACCCTGCGTCTGACCCTGGCAGACGGTGTCTGACCATCTATCCTTAGTACACTGTCAAAGCCATTATTGTCCTTACAGAGATTAACTCAACATACCTAAATCCATAGATACTGGGGGGCATTTTGGCTTCGAGTTTAGTAGACGAGGGTTATATGAAAATGACATGGCTAGCAGGGGAGGATACTAGCCAGTGTCTGTCCTTGCAGCCCAAATCTGAAATTTGGGATAGTATGCAGTCATCACCCAAACTGGTCACATGCACAGTAAGTAGAATGAGAATTCACATCCCTTCAATTTCCCCCACATTCACTTTTTTAAAAGATTTTGTTGGTTTTAGATTTTGCGTTTTTATTTTTGTTGTTGTTGTTTGTTAGTTTGTTTGTTTTTATGTGAATGACTGTTTTACCTGCATGTTTGTCTGTGTAACCATATGCTTGCCAACTGCCTGTGGAGGCAGGAATAGGATGTCTGAGTCTTTGGTACTGGAGTTACAGACCCTTATGAGCCTCCATGTGGTTGTTAAAAATTAAACCTGTATCCCCTAGAAGAGCAACCAGTGTTCTTAAAAGCAGAACCATCTTGCCAGACCCTCCTCAACTTTTTTTTTTACTCTGTGGAACCAGCAGGAGTGGGGTCCCAGGCGTGGAGCTATAGTTTTTCAGATTATATTATCTGCCAGCTTTCCTATATTTGGGTTTTGCTCCCGGATGCTACTTCTCCGTGCAGGGGTGCAATAAAGAGCAAAAGGTTGATCCTTGATGTGTGTCATACAAGACTGTCCCAAGAGATTCGCATCCTCTCTGCTCAGGGGACTGGGCTGGGAATGAATAGGAAGGTGACAGGCCAGTTTGCAGTTTAGCTGGCAAGAATCAGTTTCTCTCAAACCAACTGTAAGAACATAACATTAGCACATGATGCTCCTGTACACAGCTCTGGACTGCTTTTATTGTGGAACAGTCTTTTACTATACTGTAAAGATGCATTGCTCTTATTGGTTTAGTAAAGAGCTGAATGGCCAATAGCTAGGCAGGGAGAGGTTAGGCAGCACTTAGAGAGAGCAGGGATGAGGAAGGGCAGGGTCATCACCCAGGTGCAGAGGAAGCAGGACGTGTAGAAGATGAGGATACAAGCCATGAGCCAATTCACAGCATGTAAATTGATAAATATGGATTAATGTAAGTTTTAATTTGTAAGAACTAGTTAGTAAGAAGCCAAGTATTTATAAATAACAAAAAGTGTCTGTGGTTATTTGGGAGTTGGCTGGCAGGACAGAAAGTTCCACCTATGTGCTTTTTAGGCCATTGACTTTCTGCTGTGCGCAGAACTCCTGATACAGCCCACCCCCCTGCCCCAGCTCAGGCACAGCTGCTGCTCTGGCATTTGCTACAGATGGGACACAGAGCAGCTCAAACCTGGAATCCCTGTGGCCAGTGAACTAGATACAGGTCCAGGTGGTCCAGCTTCAGATCCGTGAGGGTTTTCTGAAAGGCTTTCTTCACCAGGCTTTTCTCGAAGAAGGTGGGCCACAGCTGCAGAGTGTGACATGAGGACGTTAGGACGGGGTAAAGAAAGGGCCACCCCACAGTCACCATCTCTCCTTTGAGATTTGCTGTTGATCTAAAACCAGGTCAGGCCATTGGTTTATAATACATTTATTTAATATTTAGAATAGGTCACCAGCCCTCAACAAGGTCAAGGTCATGCCTATGTCCTCTTCCATGCTCTTGGTATTCTGTTTCATTTAGCACATTTGATTCCTAATTAGAAGTTGACATTCTATATTAGTCTCTGGCTGTATTAGTCTCAGTTCTCAGAGGGAAGAAATTACATCTGACCCTTAAAGTTCAAGTATCCTGATACACTGGGAGCAGATGACCCTTTCATTGCTCTGATCCCCAAGTCCATCAGTCATACCCACACCAACACTTGGGGCTGTGTGTCAGACCCGTTACGATTTCCTTGAACAAGCATGCACCAGCACAGAGCCAAAGCTCCACAAATACCTAACATTCAACACCTCTGCTTTATATAATAATTTATAATTCACACATTTTATTGGTTTGAGATAAAAGGAAATTTGCACGTGACAATAAATAATGCTCCCACCATTTTCAAACCACACATGTCTGAGAACATCAAGACCAGGGCCATCGAGACCGCAGTCACGTTAAGCAAGCAGTAAGGTTCAGAGGCCATCCCAACCATACCCTTTACTGCCCCTTGGAGAGTAGATCCCACTGCTGGAAACAGGGAGGTCAAGAACACCAGGAGGCTCAATGAAGCCATCACTACTATAAGAGATCCAATACTGTAGAAGACCAGCATCAGCATTTTCTTACTAGTACTGATTTGGCATGGATAAACATCCAGAGATAGAATGAAGGTGGGTGAGAGGTGCTGGGAGAATACAGCAGATGGGGGTGGCTGATAAACTCTTGAAGCTGCCCATTCCCAGATATTTCTACCTGCCTTAAAATCCTGTCCACCAAGTGGGCCACTCTACCTTGCTGACAATGAAGAGGTCCTCCCGCTTCACGGCCTTCTCCTTGATCTTCTCTTGGATGGCTTCCCCCACTTCATTCTCATTCTGATACACATAGGCGCAGTCAATGTGGCGATACCCAGCATCAATGGCGGCCTTCACAGCTTCCTTGACTTTATTAGGGGGAGACTGAAAGACAACAGAAGAGACCCTTAGAAGCCATTCTTCCACATAGATCAGATTCTCAAAACCACAGCCTGGCTAGGATCTATTTCAAATAGACACTGGTGTCAGGAGTAGGGAAACATCCTTTGGAAAACTCTTCAGAAGAAAAGACTGGATCATTTTATTAATTTTTATGGTTAGCATATGATTGGTTTCATCTATTGATCTTCATTCATATGTTGTATCCTAAACTGTGAATTGTTTTTTGTGATTATCACCCATGTTCTGTCTTAGCCAAAAAAACGAGTTCTTCTCTAATCTAAGCTGATCTTGAAGGCTGTTCAGTTGTTCCCCTTGCAACTTGCTAAAGACTAAACTCAAATCTACAGTGGACCAGAAGAATCCTCAGACCCCCAGACAGTTATAAACATTTAAACTATAGTTGTTGTAAGTTAATATGAACTTTCCCATTAGTAGAGTTCGGAGGTTGAGCAGATTGCAGTTTTTTTATACCTTGACTGCAAAACAGCAGTCAAGACAGCCTACCTGATAAGGTCCTTACATTGTTTGCTTTCATCAATGAACATAAAGATTCTGGTGTACCGCCTGTCACTTAGGCATGCATAGGGTTGCATATCCTTATGCAATCCATTATATATTCACTGTTTCGGGAGGGGGAACAAAGAGGAAACTACACAGAAATGGATTTTCATTTCTGTCAATAAGAAATAAAAAACAAAAGAACATCTGAAATAGCTTCTCCCAATTTCCACCAGCCAAGCAGATATTGGATTAGGAAAATAAACCCTTAAAGTTCACTTCGCGGAGGAAGCAAGATGACTCCTAGGGTAATGGGACTTGCTGCCAAATCTTAGGACCTGAGTTCAATCCCCAGCTCTCACATGGTAGAAGGAGAGAGCTGACGCATACAAACTATCCTTCCAAAGGCCGCATGCACACCATGGCATAAAGGTAGTTGAGTGTGCAAATGTACGTGTTTGCATGCACACCACTACACTAGCAAACTAACAAAACATGTATAAAAAAAAAGTTAAGCCAGCCATGGTAATACACACTTTTAATCCCAGCAGTATAGATGTAGAGGGGGCTGATCTCTGTGTCTTTGAAGCCAGCCTGTTCTACACAACAAGTTCCACGCTAGCCACAGCTACACAGTGAGACCCTGCCTCCAGAAACAAAACTTAGAACTCACTGTTAGTCAAGTATAATAGTGCAAGCCTGCGTCCCAAGCACAGGAGGGAAAAGGCAGGAGAGAGGAGGATAGTGAGGCTAGAGACAGCCTGGAACGCATCACTGTCTGATTAAAAATAAAAGCAAAAAAAAAAAAACGCTCACATTCTGGGTGCGGTGGCCCATGCTCATAATTCCAAGCATTTGGGAGGTAGAGGTGGGGGTGAAGGTCATGAGATCAAGGCCAGTCTCAGCCAGTTAGTGAGCTCTAAGGCTGCCTGGGCTGCACGAGCCTGTCTCAGACAACAGTAAGTAAATCCACCCCCCAACCAAGTCTAGACATTCTTGCTGTAGTTGTCAAACGTAGAGAAGTGTACATAGCAGAGATCAACAACTATATCATCATGGGGCCAAGGAATTGCTGCCAGCCACTCAGAGGCACTGGGGTCCAGGCTCAAGTCCCATCCCCCTGCTCCTGCACCGGTGAACTCACTGCCCCTTTCCAGCAGCACCCCATCCTGAAAACGACTCCTTGAGAGACCCTACATCACTGCGGGAACTCTGAAAGTTCACCTCGGCTGATTTTTCCGAGTGAGTAGACTCCCTGGAGATCTCCAAGTGATTTTTTGTTGCTTTGGTGAATGTGAAATTTCTGATACAGAGCAAATCTGCTTCACTATGTCCTGGAGTGGGCCTTGGAGCACTTGGCAGGAGAGATGACTACAGCCAGCGTGGGACCAGAGCAGACTCCTAGCCCGGGCTCTCTGTCATCTTGAGCCAGCTCAGGCTTTAATGTGTGGGGAACACATAGGGGGCAGGGGGGTCCCTGTAAAAAGTGCAGGCGCCAGTTCAGTAGCCTGGACTGGGGTCTGAGGCTGCCTTTTCCACAGGCTCCCAGGCCGCTAGGATGTTCCAAATGGAGTCCTTTCTTCCCCGTGGACAGCAAGAAAAACCGGGTCATTTAGAACCCAGTGTTCTATCTCGGAATAACCCAACTGGAAACACACAGCTCAAACCTGTAAATCGTGAAGTAATTCAGAGGAAAAGCTTACAAAAAGACTAACTGCCTGGAGATGGTATTTTTGTTGTTCATTGTCAAGTCCAGAAACAGCTGGAAACCTGACACTTGTTTGGGAAGTTGTCAGCCAGCTGGGAAAAGCCAGTCTGAGCTTTGAGGCCTGAAGCAGGGCAGAAGCTGAAAACAAGCTGGGTCCTGGCTCTAGGATTCCAACCCCCATCCCCTGCAGATGCTGTGCAAAAAGGAGAAAATGCCCAGGACCACTCCCCACTTGTAAGAAGGAGTTTTCCAACGACTGCACACCTACCTTCCAGGTGCCCAGGCCCACGATGGGCATCCTGGCTTTGGTACTGAGCTCCACGAAGGCGGCCATGGTTGTTACAGAAACTGCCCTGAGAGAGCTGATAGGCACCATGGCCTACTTTAGGAAGCTGATAAAGGTTATGCGTCCTTGGGGAGGCTGGCTCGTCCAGCTGGCAAACAGCCACAGCCTAAGAGCAGGCCTTGTCACAGGAAGTACATTGCTGTGTTTCGAAAGACTGATTAAACCCTCTAGAATGCGGAATCTCCCTGCTGCAGAATGCCAAGGCTGCTGTAGCAGAACTCACGCAGGTTTGTGGACATCAAGAACACGGCGTGAAGAATGAATTAGTTTACTTAAGAAGGCCCATCGCTGTGAGAGTGGACACACTCAGTGAACCCTGTGACTGTTCAAGATGTTTTCAGCAGGGGGAGAATTCAAGGAAAAACTAGGAGGCTTGTAGCAATCATTTTGATAGGAGTTAGTACGGATAGCCCGCTCCTGCTGCCGGACCAGCCACATCAATTACTTTTGAAACCACTGTGTTTAGCCACAGTATTAATAACAAGGGCTGTCAGTGTGAGATTAAACAGACAGTTGGCTGAAGTCTCCGCAGAAAGATTTTTATGCGAGGTTTTAATAGTCTCTGTGCCAGGTGTAGGTCTGGGAGGGCCTGTGATTTCTTTTGTGTTCACACAATTGCTGTAAGATTGTGGGGGTGTGTTGTTCTAAAATTAGAAATTACCCGTTAGTCGTTTGCACATGATATTTTACTACTAAAATTCTCTCTCTCTCTCTCTCTCTCTCTCTCTCTCTCTCTCCCCTCTCCCCCCTACTTCCCTTCTTTTCTTTCCTGTTTCATTCTTATCTGCTTTTCTTTCAGACTTGATAACTTAACCAGTTGTGTTCAGAATGAACTTCCATTTTTTCCCACCTACTTAATAAAAAACCCTTCTTGATTTTTATACAGTATAGAGAATATGAAAAATATAGATGCTTATAAATGTCAAAAAATAGCTTTGTCAAACTGTACAAGCTGACGTTACTCAGTGCTATTTTCCCGTGTGTTGCACATGGTTTTTATTATAACAGTTGCTCTGACTATATGAATGTGCCTGTTTCTATATAATGTATTTTTCTAAAGCCAATCAGGCAGACAAATGTTCTCTGCATAAATAGAAATCACGTTAAATTACACCAAACACTGTAGTGGGTTTTGATGTTCAGGTTCATAGGCATTCATTTTCACTATACTTAGAGCTGTAGTTCATGTTCAGTTAGTTTCTAGTGTGGATCTATTTCAAGGTGTACCACTGTAAACAAAGCATTGAGTCGTTTTCCTTGGGCTAGATCTTCTGAAGCTGGAATTTATTTCAGTTTATCATGTGATATTTAGATCCTAGTTAATTTTTTCCAAGTAGGAGATTATCCCACAGCCATTTATAAAAAAAACATAATCTCATTACTCTTGTTTATATTTCAATAGTCATTATAAAGAATTCTCAACTTTCATTTAATTGATGTACAAAACTAGAATAGGTGAAGGGTCACTCACAGGAGTATGGGTGAGGGGTCACTCACTGAAGTAGAGGTGAGGGGTCACTCACAGGAGTATGGGTGAGGGGTCACTCACTGGGACATTTTATACATGCTTCTCCCCACCTCCTGAAATCTCACTGACATTTGGAGATAGAAAAAATCCTACATACAGCATATGTTAATCTATCACTCAAAGGAAACACAGAAGGCAGAGAACTAAGTTGAAGATGCTACATTTGTATAAAGATACCACAGACTGCTTCATCTTGGCTATCATAATAGCCTACAGTGTTGTAAGTCAAGAGCCATAACCTCTGACTACTAACAACCTCAATAACATCTACTTCAATAGCTGATCTGATCGACCGTATCTCTGAACTTAACACACCTCTAGCCTCCAACCGAATAAGGGCTGGGGAATCTTTAGGCCAGCTGGGAAAACTTGGCTCGGCCCCTCTAAGGGGGCGTCTTTTGGGGTCCAGGCCTGGATGCAGGAAAAGCAAAAGCAGTTACTGCCTCAAAGTGACAGAGATAGACAGGAAAGGACCAGCCACATACGGAGCAACAGGGGACAGGATGACAGACTTTGCTCCCACTAAGGAGCTGAGAGGGGTTCCAGGTCTGGGAATCTGCCCAGGGACTCTGGGTTGGAAGTCCTGTAGGCTTCCAAGACCATCCCCTCTCCAGACTTCTGCCTTCCTGTTCTCCCTGATGGTCCTGCTAGGGGTGTCCTTCTTAGGGTAGACTCTTTCCTCCTGCCAGTTGAGCAGTAAGTAGTTTGTAACAGCTGGCTAGGGGGAGGAGGGAGAAAGGAACGGTGGGAGGGGAGCAGTAGTAGGCACAGGGGATTAGAAGGTACATGCAAAGCTTTGTGTGTGTGTGTGTGTGTGTGTGTGGCTATGGACTACATTGCAGCTATAGTGCCTCAAAGGCTCTGGAGAAAGGTGAGGAGAGCCATGTACTTCAGGACATGGGTACTCATGTGGAGCCATCTAGGACAGAACAGGTTGTAAAGACTCAATGACCTGAAAGGTACCTCCATGGAAGACCCTTCGGACTTTTACCTTTGTTTTATTTATACATAATCATCCTCCGATTAATAATGGGCTATATGGAACGTTAGAATCAACAACTGAAACATCTGCTTTGGAGGAACTGAAAATCTGTCCACAACAGTCAAGTGATGTATTTTATAAGTCAACTTTCATGTTGGCCTGAGTATTCATCAGCTAGCCCTCTGTGGCTCTATAGTGGAAGTGGGCAAGAGGGCAATACAGACAATTATTGGCAAGCGTTTCCTCTTCACCACAATTCTTGTTTTTCCTTTAGTTATTAATCTTTTTGGCACTACTGTATATGATGGGAACAGCAAAAGTCACAAGGCCAGCAGAGCTCTTTGGCAAAGATCCAGCAAAGCTGAGTCACATGACGGCCGCTGTGCCGCCATTGATTTTCATCTCCCCCTGTTGCATACTTGGGGGACTTTTAATATTTGTACAATGTAGTGATGTTGGATTGATGGAAGTTTTCTTATTGATTATTTATGCTTTCTTCCAGGAATGGTGCTTCTAAGCTTCCCCAGAACAGTCCTGAACATTCTATTCCTCCCTCTTTTGGGGAGCTATCCTTATCTACTTGAAGGTCTTCCTTGTGCCTTGGAGGTTGTGACACAGATAAAGAACTCGGGGGGGGGGCTCTTTATGGGGCATTCTAGAAACATCTGTCCCTGTACTCACGCAGGAACAAGATATTCAAATCAAAGTAAACTCAAAAAGGTGAAGAGAATTCAGTGGGCTACAGGAGTTGGCCACAGCTCGGATTGCAAGCCTCTTCCCACTATACACCCTGGCTGTTATGTGGCAGATATGTCAACAAAGTTAGATCCGCTGAAGTTGCCTCTGCCCTGCACAGAGTCTTATATTGATAGGCAAAGAATGATGTAGAAGGATGATAAAAGAACAAGAGGTGAGGACCTTCCTTTCTTAGCAAAGTCAGCACATGCAGAGCCACTGTGGTGTCACGTGACCAAGGAACAACAGAACGCCAGGATTAGACATTTAAACACATTCTATAAAAATACAAAATATAAACATTGTATTATGCCCGAATTTGAATAATAACGGCAGCAGCTTTGGCCTGAGGACTTTCTTGGGCACTCTGACCATTGAGAGTTAATAATATACCACTTGGGACATGACAATATGCCTGGGTTGGCTTGAGGATTTTGTTTTGGTCTTGTGTCCTTGTAGCCACAAAAGCTCCTAGCCTGAGAACAGGCTGCCTTATGCCTCTAGATTCTTAAAAACTGGGGTGTGGGGGTTAGTGGGTAAAAATGATAACTCTGTTTATCAATGATGTCAAAACTTGAGAGAAAATGATAACTCCTTTTGGTCGTAGTTTATTAATGATGACTAAAACATGTGCAAAAGGAAGTGAAACACAGGTCCAAAACCCAAAAACGTTATGATCTACATTTTGAAATAGCATGAATGGATCCCTGCTCACTGAATTCTGCATAAATGAAGAAGCACTCTGGCTGCCGGTCAGTCAGGCTGCAGGATTCTCCCGACCACCCTGGCCTGGCTCCATCCCTCCCTAGCCTGCTCCTTACATCCCCTGCTGGGACCTGCTTCTCTGCCTGGGTAGTTCTTCCTCTCTGTCCCTCTCTCCTAAAATGAAACTAAGAAGTGTTCCATGTTTGATTCCTTCTGCCACTACTCTTGCCTCCACCCATCTTCAGACCCTGCCTTCATCTGGAGCTGGGCTCCAGCACTTTTTGTTTTAATTAAAGGTCTTGTTATATATTCTACTTTAACCTGGAACTAACTGTAAAGCCCATGCCTCAAACTTAAGATCCTCTTGAATCTTGGTCTCCTGGATCCCAGTCTCCTGAACCCTGGTCTCCTGAATGCTTGGATTACAAGTGCAGATACCAAGCCAAAAAACAATTTTAGCTTTCAATGGTAAACCTCATAGTCTCTAAACCAGAGCTACACAGAAGTATTCTAGAAGTAGATAGGGAATAGTGCTGTTCCGTGTCTCTTCCCTCACTCAGCACAACCCGCAGGCTTGGAAATGGTCTGAAGGAGAAGCTCTGACATTCTGATGTTGCTACCAATAACTTGGACTTCCCAGTGGCTGAACAGAAGGTCCGACCTAGGGAGGGAAAGTGTAGATTTAAAATGATAAGTGGAAGAAGGCTAAAATTGTTGATACTGTGATGTCTAACTGGACTTCTTGCTGTGCAGAGGCATAGAACAAGAGAGCAGCTTCAATTCAGATTTAAGTGGATAGACTTACTAACTTGGATTAGAAAGTGACCTATGGGCATATATGCTATTTCCAGATCAAACCCAGAGAACACTAATCCGTGATGGTCTGAGTGAATACTGTGTGGCCTAAACTGCAATTCATGAAGGTATAAGAATGACTTTGGCCAAATATGGAAAGTCACCCCTTGCCAACCCTGCCTGAAGGCTCACTCCTGTAAACAGCTACTGGTAGGATGTTTGAAACCTGCCTTAGTCACTGGTCTGCTGCTGTGAAGAGACAGCATGACCAAGGTAACTCTTGTGAAAGAAAACATTTCATGGGGTGGGGGGTTGCTTACAGTTTTGGATAGTTAGCCCATAATCATCGTGGCATGGTGCTGGATCATTGGCTG